AGTTTCTATTCATCGGATGGTGGGTGGGACTGGAAGGTGCACATCCTGGCACATTAGCACTCTACCTATGCTATCAGAGCCTCGGTGTTGATAATATAGGAAGAATGGAGGGCAATAAGCCGACCGGTGGGTAAGTCATAAGAGCTTTCTCTAGGTAGTTTCATCAGATGTAGATAGGTAGTAGTCAGTTTCCATAAAGAGAATATACATGTATCGTAAATTCTTTCTAATAAAACATGGTGTACGCCAGTTGTTAAAATCAAAAAATGTTTAAGTAATTAACTATTTAATCACTTTTACCTGAAATTGAACCGGTATCTTGTGATCTAACCTATAGAGTATTAATTATTATACTATAAATCTACAGGTCTTGATAAGGTTCCTAACAATATTATTTTGATACTTAGTTTGGAACCCTAAGTCTGGAACATAAATTTTTTGATTTTTTTAATATATCTATAAAATTGATTCATTATATATAAAAATAGATTTTTTTGGTGTCTGTCTGGATATATAAACGTATCAATAAAAGATCACGCACCGTGCGCACGTTCCACTATAAAAAAAAAAAAATAAAATAAAAATAGATTTTTAAATTAAAGATAAGAATATAATTTAAATATTTTTCATTATTAAAAAAATTTTTTTTTAAATATAAGATCAAAAAAAAATTACTTACAAAGATTTTTTGTAATTTAGATTACTTGATCCAAGTGTTTTTTGAATTATGTTCTTATTAAAGTAATAAATAATTAATTATGTTTCTTTAAAAGAGATATAATTAATTTGCAAAATATTATATATTAAATAATTTAGGAATCCATTCTTAATCATATAATTAGTATAGTTTAAAATTCTTTTTATATACTATATATAATAGAAAAGTAATAGATTGATCAGATTTAATTTAGACAACCAATAAACTCACTGAAATAATATAAAAGTCAGATACCTTTTTAATTATAGTTTGTATTTTCTCAAATTATCAATAATGAAAGATTGATAATAGTTCATTACTTTTTAATAAAAAATAAAATTTTTTAAAAAAATTTTTTAAATATTCAATTAATATTAAAATAATGTTATTAAAAACCTTATTAAATATATTGTAAAGATTAAATATTAAAACAATATATTATATTAAAAAAAATAAAAAAATTGTTATACAGTACTTACAGTATATATAATATTCGATTGGTTTATGTTAAATATTATAAGAAATAGCAAAATAATAGATTTTATAATTTTTAAGATTATTAGACATGTACAAAACCTTATTTTTATAGAATAGTAGGTTATTTATTCGTAATCACATGTATAAACCTTTTTTTGATCGAAAGATTTTAAGTTTTTTTATTAATTTAATTTCCAGTAAAGAATGATTTTTATAGTTATTTCTAAGGAAATTCACGTGTAAGCATTGCCCATTGCTTATACCTAACTACACGTAGTAACCACAATTGTTTAGTAAATTGATGATCGATATGTATCATTATACACAATAAGGTAATTAAGAGATTAAATCTATTTCTTTTTCTAATCTTATAAAGGTTACCTCATTTAAATATACAACTTTTAAATACACGTGAATGAAAAAAATTTTGATACTTTCTATCCCAAACGTATTAACAAATCATATACTCAAGCCGCCGAATGCAATGATCCAATAGAATAACATCATCCAGATTATGACGACAAAAATCTTTATCAACAAAAGGCTCAGAGGCGTTGAATTATTGTCATAATCCAAGCCATAAATTAAGTTTGCATCATTTACTTTTTCGTTGGTGTACGATAATCTTGACAAAGAGTCACCACCCACATTTCTGAAAGGCAGTAGACGACCTTCTTCGAGTCTCTGATATGAGAAATTGATTCTACTATATGGATAATAGTTGATTTGATTTTTTAATTGATTAGTTAAAGGTTCATTGGTGTTGTTGAGATGTAATTGAAATGGATAGTTTGACATCTAGGAACACTAATGAAAGGTTATCGTTTTGTTGCAATAAAAATAACTACGAGAAGATAATAATATAGATTAATTATACATTTAAAAATTTCTAGATACGTGAGAACATTCATTGCGCAAAAAAATCATTCTACTATGTATTTATAAATTATTTTTTTTTGGAATTCTAACTATCACAATATTCAGCCAAAATAATTGTTTATGCTCTCACAAATTTATTTAACTAATTCACTTGATGTCATGTGCGCGTTTTGATTCGACACCGCACTTTTGCTTAACAAACTATAAATATTTTAGGGAAGACTTGATGATCGATCTTGAAAATCATGCGTTAATTAGGAATTTTCAATATTTCTTGCCCACCTTCTAGCATCTGCCGACCAGACCGAAAAATGTCTCAGTATGGATTTACCATAGAGATACGAGGTAAACATGTGTAACACGCAAAAAACTTTCACTAAAATGAGGAAGACTTTGAGAAGCAATTAGTGCATGACCAGCCCAGCCTAAGAAAAAACTGCTGATTGCGAAGATCCGAACATGTACATGTATATAGTTATTCCGAAGAAGCTTAGTAAACACGTTATCACGTAACCTATAAGAGCAGGCACCACCAATAATTTATGCAATTTATATGTGAAAACAATAAAAACAACCCAAATGGATGCATCAAAAAGCACCTTTCTTCAATGCTTGTAAAAAGTCATCGTGTTCCTGATCCTCGCCTGCCAAGGAAGAATTGGTTTTGCATCTATCACTAGTTTCGAAAATTCCCATACAGCCTTGGGACTTCTACATATGTTAATACTTTGTTACAGATTGCAGATCTCAATGTCGTGATGTCAAGTAGCGCAAAGTAGAGTTGTGTGGATCACTTTAGAGCAATGTTCTAATGTCTGAAGATCCCGATTCTTTTGCTGAGTGTTTAGGACATCATTTTCCTTTCAGTACCAAATATTTAAGGAATCCTTGCTCCCAATTTAATTTTTTTCTAAAAAAGGTATTTCTAAGCAACGGATTCCGAATGTACGCATTGATCTCGTTTTCAGACAGACTGTCAAAGAATTCATTCTTGTATAGGAAGAAAGGGATCGCACAAAGATAATATTGCTAGACGTGATGGACATGTCAATCGGATTCTCTGTAAAGCAGACGGGTCTGATCTCGGCCAATATACAGAGAGCTTTGGGCCTTATCCTTATTCGTGTTTGAGCGAACATGGTAATATTATTGTATGTTAACATCTTTCCTGCCAAACACTTATCTAATATTTCTTGAGGACTTTTTCTACCATATCGCTATTGATTTATGATTTATGATATTCTGTCTTTGACCTCCATTTTCTTTGTCAACGTTAAAGATATATCCAATTCAATTATATGATCTGAATTTCTTTCGACGGAGTTTTCAAGAAAGCGTTCGCAAAGAAACAGTTATAATCTCCCGATCTATTCACGTGCAATAAGGTTACATGATTTTTCTAGTTAAATTAATCATATTTGACCTTCTTTAATTCATAATAATATGCATTTATTTAGTCTTTTCTTTATAAGTCAATCGGTTAGTTATTCATATTTCAGCTAATTATGCGAATATTCTCTATAATAATAAAATCCCTGCGAGCACTCACACTTCTTTTGTCCGTAATGATTTAGCCTCAACTGATTATGTGTCAACAAACACTTATCTCAATAGCAAGCAAGGTGTATCACATAATAACACTTTTATCATATATATAATCTTTACTCTTAAACTTATTTCTATTAATAATCATCCAACATGTTTACTTATCACACTTAAGAAATCACTTCCAGAGTTTCTCATTCTCCTTCAACCCTCCCATTACACTACAAAACAGATAAACTTCTCTTATTGGATATCATTCTTATTGAAAGAAAAAAACATCAATTTGCAGTTATTTATATAAACAAAAATAGAAAAATCATCATTATAAAACCATTAATTATTACTACCACTTCTTTTCTATCCAATTATTTTACAAGAAGACTTATTTCTATTGTAATTATATAACAGCAAGTCAGTTGCTAACTCTGGCAGAAATTCACATAACCATTACTGGGTAAATAAATGAAAAGGTAATTTGAGAAATGTTTTTATTTGACCAAGTCTTTAATAATTTTCTTACTAATTCCTATCTCATTTTCTTATATTTTATATTCTTTTTATATATATATATTTTTTACATTTGGCTATGGTGGCTTGGGCATAGGATAATAAGCTATAGTATAATAATAAGGCTTTAAAACTATCTTATATAATTTTTCTTATCAATTTCTTTTGTCACTTATTATTACCTAATTATTATAGCTAAATTATCATTGTTATAACAATTGGTCACATAACTAATATCACATCCCATTTCTTTCTATTACACTATTTAAAATATTATTTATATAAGCTTATCAAACTTTTCTATTATACAAGTCAAATTTATAATTAAGGATCAAAACAATTTACTTATTTAATTCTCTTTTTTCAAAAATAAATTGTGTAATCAGTTAAACAAATTCTTAAATTATTAAAACTTTCTTCAAATATTTTTTTAAATAGTAAAGCTTTTAAAAAAAAAATACTAAGTTATATTATTAACAAAAGCTAAAATTATTTCAAGTATGTTTTTTAAAATATAATCAAAATTGATAAAAAAACAAGTAGAAAAAAAAATTTCTTTTTTAAATACAAAGTATTAATTTAGCTTAACAAAACATTCAAGTATTTTATCTACTTCTTTATCTAACAATTTTATCATACTTTTTAATCCTTTATTATCTAACCAATTACAAATAATAAGATCAATTAATTATTATATTTAATTAAATACTGTTTTACTTTCTTTCAATTAAAATCTATTATATTCAAACTTAATCAATAATAATAACTTAATTATATCAATTAACTTAGATTTTTTTATCTCAAGTAATATAGATATAAAAGTCTCTTCCAATATATTTCTTTTTTCAAAAATTAAGAACAATCTTCTCTTCATTTTAATCAACTTCTCAAATATACTTAACTTGCAAAATTCAAATAAGTTTTTTCTTTCTTCTATCAAGTTCTTATTTCCTATTATACAAAGCAACTATGGTTTTGAAAATTGAAATCGAATAGACTTGTATAAACTTATATTAGATTTGAAACACTATTAAAAATAATGATAAATTATAATGCATATAGTAAATTTAATATAAACCTGAGAATCAAAAATCAAATCAAATCAAATTGTTAAAATCCTTAATTAAAACAACTTTTATATTCAAACTTTATTATATTATTATAAGAAATTTCAATTAAAAAAACTTTATCAATTGAAGTAGCAACTTCTCTATACAAACAATCTATTTATAATTACCTTAATAACCATATTAATATTGATTAACAATTTGATGAAAAAGTAGTTATATATTTTATATTTACAAATATATTATGTATTGATCAAATCTGAATATTTAAAAACTTAGCACTTAAAGTTATTTAATATAAGATTAATGAATATAACACTATTTTAATAGATTATCAATTAATCAATATCAAATTAGTTTAGTTTAAATTCAAGAAAATCAAAACAATCTACAAGTTCAATATTGACAAGACAATTAAAAAAAATCTAATCATTTTATTAAGAATATAGAACTTTGACTTGATATATTTTTCTTTTTATTTTAGAAAAAATTTAATAATATTATTAAAGATTCAATAAATAAATATATTAAAAAAACCAAAATAAACACTGTCAGAAAAAGTTAACATATCAAAATAAAAAAAACTTTTAAAGTCCAGATCAATAAAATTAACAAAACCATAATCTATATAAAAAAAACAAACTACTTACTTAATTAAATAGCAATATAATAAACTTATATATCAATACAAATCATTGTACAGATATATTAATAAAAAGTTTAAGAAACTTAAAAGACTGCTAATTAAAGAAATATTGGTTCAAGCTTATCAAGAACTCCTAGAAGAATATTACCACAATTTTGAAATCATTATAAAAAATTTCTATATTAGGTCAAAAAATTATATTGTCAAGACTCTCAGCAAAATCAAATTTAAAATTGATCTTATATAAATCTACAATCACAAAAACCAAATTGAAAATGATTTTAATATTATAAAAAATATTATTATTAACTATTTTCAAAATATTTTATATCAACAATTATTCAATCTTTATAGATTTTTTAACTGACAAGAAATATACAATTCTTTTTCAATAGATTAAAACCTATATTGTTGGGGGTTATAACAGCAAGTCTGTCGCTATGTCGTGATCGCCGATCGTGTAACATCGAAAGAGGCGTGGAGATATGACACGAGGTAAGTGAAAGTGTTAGATAATAGTCTGAGTTTTATAGTAAAAGGACAATATTTTATTGTTGCTTTTTCTCTAGTACATTCCTCTCTTTATATATATGTTAAGAAATCCCAAAAATCCCAAAAATCCCTCAAGCCCCAATTAAACCCCGAGGATGACATATGTTGAATCTATCTAATTTTTTTGGTTCCTTTTACAATATAAAGAAGTATTTTTAATAATTAATCTGGTAACTCTTGAATCCAAAAAATAAAGCATTAAAAAAGTTAAAAATTAGTTATAAAATTATTAAACTTCTGAACAAAGATATATATAAACTATACCGTAATATTTTCAACTTAACAAATATTATTATAATATTAATTTTTAAGAAAATAACTTGAAGCCACAATTTAAATAATACAAAATCCATATTTCTAATAAAATTTATAAGAAAACTCTTTATTAGTATAATCAATAAAAGATTTACTAAAATCTTTAAAAACAATCAAATATTATTTAACTTTACTAATATTTCTGATTAAAGTACTATAAAACCTTTAATTATTGTTAACTTAGCAATTCAAATAACAAATATTAATAATAAAGAATTTTAGTTTGCTTCCTTGAATATTGCTAAAGTTTTTGATTTTGCTTCCATTTTGACTATACAAAAATTATT